CTCCTCTTCTGTGTGTCTTCTCCCCTTCTGCCTCTCAACTGCACACTAATGATTGGATTTAGGACTCACCCTGATAACCCAGGATGATCTCATCTCCAGATCTTTCACTTTGTCATATGACAAAAAAAGACTTCTTCCAAGCTAGGTGACATTCACAAGTTCTGGGCAAAATAAATTGGAATTCCTCCCCACCCCACCCCCCCGCCTCCTCCCCGTACACACAGCTTCTGGGAATGTAGAAGGGTGCAGTTCTCTGGGAAACAGTCTGGTAGGTCCTCAGGATCCTGAACTGTAGAGTCACCACATGATACACGGTATATTTGACATGCAGGTCTTTGGGGTCATTAATCAGACTACCACATGCTTTGCCTCCTGCTCTCCAGAACATGGAAAATCTACCCCCTTGGAAGCTCCCCATGGGGAACAGTAGGTCTCAATGCCCTCTCTAAGACTTCCAATGGACTCAAATCCTGGTCCCACCCCTACCCTGTCTAGTGGCTTCCTCAGCGGGTGAGGTTGCAGCGCTTGTGTTGGCGCCATCTGGTGGAACCAGGGCATCACTGCAGGCGCGCGCCCTATAGAAGTAAGCCAGGCCCCCTGCGCACTTGGTAAAATTTCAAATTGTCATATTGAAACAGGCAAAAGGAAACAAGTGAAAATCTTCCAGAGAACGTATTTTATTCAACCCAATGTATTCAAGACATTATCAATGCAACATGTAATCAACAACAACAAAAAAGCAACATATTATTTTACATGATTTTCTTCATACTAAATCTTTGAAACCCAGTGTGTGTTTTATGCTCACGGAACCTCTGAATTCAGAACAGCCACCTATCAAGTACTCAGTGGCCACACGTGCTGGTGGCTGTGGTACTGGACAGCACATCTCTAGAAGTCCAAGTGGAAGGCACGAGGGGGTGGGGCAGGGCAGGGCTCTGAGGTGAGGGAGTCTGAGATGGAGGCAGAAGAGGGGAGCTTAAGGAAGGGTGGCCCCATATTAAGGTCAGGGCCTGGCTGTCCGGACCTGGTCTTGGTGTGATCTCAGTGCCAGGTCCTATGGCCTGCAGGTGGGGGAAGTGCACACTCAGACCAGAGTTCTCTGCTGGCCGGACTGAGCAAGCCCCAGCCTTGGCGAGCCTGGTCCCACCGGCCTGGTAGGTGCATTCTCGTCCTCCTGAAGGCTGCCTGTGCTGGACTGCCTGCCCAGTCCAGCGTGGCACACACTGGGTAAGAGCTAGCATCTGAGAGCACTGTCTTTTTCTACTGGCCGCCTTCTCTTTTCCCAGCATTTGAACAACACTGACAGTACTTTAAGCACTCACCAAATATTTGTAGAATGAATGAAAAGAGAGTCCCGGGCCCTGTGCCCAGCCTCCTACTCCACCTTACCAGCTGCTGTCATGTGTTGAGTCCTGTCTACACCCCGGGCACTATGTCAACCATTTCCAATGAGTTATCCTTAAATCTCACCCAGTCCTGATTGGTGCTGACTCAGTCACTGCTGGATGCAGCTCAGTAAAAATGGTGCTGAGGACAGCGCTGGTGGGGCCATCCACCTTCACACTCTGTCTCCCCCACAGAGTTCACCGCCATGGCCCAGGCCATGCACCTGACCTCCTCATCTCTGCAAGGTGACTCCCACTGCCTGGATGTAGCTGCCAAGACAGCGCAGACTCCCCCAGTCTCTGTGGGGCATCTCTCCCCTTCCCTGGGTGCTGAGGTCTGACTTCTAATGCTCTCCTCAGTCCCCATACAGCAGAGCTGCAGACCTGACTCAGGTTGACAAATGAGGAGCAGGCTGGGGAGAAAGTCTGCCTTTGCCATTTTGCTACTGTCCCCCAAAAGCTCCTGTGGGAGACAATGCGAGAGGGTTCAGAGGGAAATGATCAGGTTGCGAAAGCCTTAAACTAATCAGTGAATTAGTCCCTGATGGGATTAACTGAGTGGGGGCTGGGGTGTGGCTGGAGGAGGTGCATGGCCATGGGGTATGCACTTTGTATCTGGGGAATGGACTCTCTCTCTTTCTCTGCTTTTTGATCAGGATTCGAGCTGCTTCCCTCTGCCACACTCTTCCACCATGATGTTCAGTCCCACCTTGAGCCCTGAGGAATGGAGTCTGCTGTCTATGGATTGAGACCTCTGAAACCATGAACCCCCAAATAAACTTCTCCTCCTCTACAGTTGTTCTGGTTGGGTCCTTCAATCATAGCAGTGAAAAAGCTGACTAAAACTCCCACAGTTGGGTAAATTATAAAGAGGTTTGGCTGGGCCCAGTGGTGCATGGCTATAATCCCAGCAACTTGGGAGGCTGAAGCAAGAGGATTGAAAGTTTGAAGCCAGCCTCAGCAATTTAGCAAGACTCTGTCTCAGAACAAAAAAATAAAAATGGACTGGGTATGTCACTCAATGACAGAACACTGCTGCGTGCTCCTAATACCAAAAAAAAAAAAAGAAAGAGAAAGGAAGGAAGGAAGGGAATTTATTTTGGCTCAGGTTCTGATCCAAGGTGGAGAGGTCACATCTGGTGATGGCCTTGTGGCTGAAAGAGTTCTGAGGTGGTGCAGAAAATCACATAAATGTGTCCTGTGTCTTCGTCTTCCTCCCTCTTCTTTTAAAGCTACTACTATTCTGATGGCTTCCATCCTAATCACCTCCCCAAAGCCTCACCTCCAAACTTGGATTAAGTTTTCACCCTCTTAATATCTCACAATGGAGATTAAACTCCAACATGAGCTTCAGAAGGGACACCAATATGCAAACCAGCACTCTACCTAAATCCCCACCCCAGTCCTGGTCAAGAATCACAAGCCCAGGGGCTTCTGGGCTGCTGTCTGTAGATGCTGTACATCTCCAGCAGGTGGAGGTGTAACAACACATTTGCAACCCATCTGGGATCATGTCTGTAAATCCTGCATGCTCATCTGCCCCCACCCACATCCTATTTTTAACATTTGACACAGAAATGCAGCAGGAATTACGCTGTAACTTTGGGGGGAGTGGTTACCAGGGATTGAACCCAGGGTGCTTAACCACTGAGCCACACCCCCAGCCCTTTGTTTTTAATATTTATTTTTTAGTTGTAGTTGGACACAATATCTTTATTTTATTTTTATGTGGTGCTGAGGATCAAACCCAGGGCCTCGCACATGCTAGGCAAGCACTCTACTGCTGAGCCACAATCCCAGCCTCTCCCCAGTCCTTTTTTATGTTTTATTTTGAGATGGGGGTCTAGCTAAATTGCTTAGGGCCTCGCTAAATTGCTGAGGCTGGCTTTGAACTGGAGATCCTCCTGCCTCAGCCTCCTGAGTCCCTGGATTACAGGTGTGCATGACAGTGCCTGGCACTATACCATAATTCAAAATGTTCTAACAACCATACTTGAAAATGTAAAAGGAAATAGGTGGGGCTGAGGGCGTGGCTCAGTGGTAGAGCATTCACTTAACATGCCAGAGACCCTGGATTCAATCTCCAGCATCACAATAAGAAAGAAAAGAAAAGAAAGAAAAAAAGAAATGAAAGAAACAGGTGAATAACCCAACATCACACAAATCATATGGATCAAAACCACAATAACACTTTATATCCATTAGGATGGCTATTACTAAAAAAAAAAGGAAAGAAAGAAACACAGAGAAAATAATAAATTTTGGCAAGGATGTGGGGATACTGGAACCCCTGAGCCCTGCTCGTGGGAATTTAAAAAGGTGCTGGTTTTGTGGAAAGCACTATATTACTTCCCTCAGCAACTAAACACAGAATTTTCTAAGGGTCCAGCAATACCACTATGGGTGTGCACTCCAAAGAATTGAAATCAGGGACTTGAACAGACATCTGTACACCATATTCATATTATGCAGTATTATTTGCAATAGTCATAACAAATTGGAGGTAACCCAAGTGTCCAAACACAGATAAAATGGATAAACAAAAGGTACATACCTACCTTCATATATATGTATATACCTATATATGTAACATATATACAATATATATTACAATATAAAATATATTTCATATATACCTATATATATACACACACTTATATACCATATATATGTATTATATATAGGTATATATATACCTATATACCATATATACCTATATATGTAATATATAGATATAAGTGTAATATATTATTATATATTATATAATATATTATGTATATGTAATAATATTCGGCCTTAAAGAGGTAGGAAATTTTGACAAATGCTACAACATGACATCATGCTCAGTGAAATAAGGCAGACACAAAAAGACAAATATTGTATGATTCATTTGGATGAAGTACCTAGATTAGCAAGTTCATAGAGAAGGGACAGGATCATGTAGAGTTACTATTTAATGTTAGAGTTTCAGTTTTGCAGGATGAAGGGAGTTCTTGTGATAGTTACACAACCACAAGAATGTTACTAATGCCACCTAACCACATACTTTAAAATGGTTAACCCAATCAATTTTATGTTATTATTTTACCACAATAAAAAGTGAATAGGCAAGATTAATTTTAATAATATTTTATCCTAATATACTCAAAATATTATCATTTCAACATATAATCAATATTTTAAATTATTGAGATGTTTTACCTTCTTTTTACCACATGATCTTTTACATTTTGTGCATATTTTACACAAGGCACATCCCAATGTGAATCTACCATGTGTCAAGTGCTCAACAGCCATGTTTGGCTGGTGGCTACCACACTGGATGGTATTGATCTTCAACTTAGTCTGCAAACATCTCCACCATATCTGTAAAGACTCGCATCTCCACGGCCACACCTGAGGCTCTTCTGCAGCGTCTCTGTACACCTTCCACATCACCCGCATTCAAACCCGCCTACAGTCATAGGCCAACGCCTACATCTCATCCCCAGACATCATCAGAGAAAGAACCAGCTCTGGAGTGCCCACTGGCTTCAAACTGGATTTGACCTGCAAATCTCCCCTCTCCTTTGCATAAATATATATCTCATTTGTGCATCAAACTAAAGCATCTCAGATAGTCATCTCAAAGTCAGGGAGGCGTGGGATTGGGAAGGAGGTCCCCGGGCATCCTTCCTCCTGCTTCCCCTGGGGCTCTTCCTCCTCCTCTTCCTCATCGCTGCTCTCCTCCTCCTCTTCCAGGATGGCCACCAGATCCTCCCGCAGTGCCCCCATCTCTAGCCCCAGGCTGCACAGCTGGCCCAGCAGCTGGATATCCACACGGCGCAGCTTTCCCTGCGGGCAGGAAGGGGTGTCAGGGGCATGCCACACCAGAGGGCAAGGGGTCCCACCAGGACTAGGGTGGGAGCAGGTCCCAGGTCCAGTCCTGGCCCACAGCACCTGGGCAGGTCCTCATTGTGCTCCTGGGTGCCATCCTGCCTGTCCTCCTGTCTCTTGATCTCAGTCTCTCTTTCCATTTCTGTCTCTCTTGTCTGCTTCCACTTTTCTGCCCATCTCTGTGTCTCTCCATGTCCGGGTCTCTCCCTGTCTGTATCTATTTCTGTTGCCCATGTCTGTACTCCTGCCGTGGCTCTTCGCATCTCTCCCCCCACCCCTCATATTCAGATCCAGTCTGCCTCTCTGTCCCAGGATCTCTGATTTGCACCTGCCTCTCTGTCTCTGTCTCCATTCCCCTCGCAATGTCTCTGCTTCTCCCTCCACCTCTGCCTCCAGTTCTCACTCCTGTCTCCAAGCTCCTGTCTTCCAGCCTCTGGCCCTTTCTACCTCACCACCGTCACTCACTCACTTATTCATTCTCTCTCTCCATCTCTTGTCCCTCCAAATCCCTCCTCACTCACCAGCTCCTCCCAGATCCACAGCAGACTCTCCTTGGCACCTCCAGGTTCCTCCCCTGGGGACAGAAGGGTCTGTCCAGGGCTCCCCTCTGGGGGGGGTCCCCTCAGGGCCTGGGGTAGTGGGCCCAGCCCAGGGGGCTCCAGTCCCGCCTGCTTCAGCTGCATCCACAGCTCCATAGTCTAATCAGTGGCTGCTAGGAGGAGGAAGTAGCAAGGTTCAGGGTGACTCAGTGTCCTGGGGAGTCATGGGGTTGGGGGAGGAAAGGGCAGTGTGGGGGGTGCTGGCAGAGGCATCCCAAAGTCCATTCTTCACTGAGAATCAGCTAGCTGTGGGGTTTTTTTTCTTCCCTCCTGAATTCCTACCTCAGCTCTCACACGGTCCAGCCACAGCCTCTCTGGGAGATCAAACTCCACCTTCCTGCCTCTTCTCAGACCAGACCACCCACAGGTGCTGGGTGTCTGTGGATACTGTCTGTCCTGCCTCTCCTGCATCCTCCCACCTCTCCAGTCCCTCCTTCTCAGCCTTTTCCTAAATTACATCACCTGACGTCTTATGTGCCCACAGATTGGTGGTCTTTACCTGTCCCCTGGTTCTCGCCATCCCAGGGCTTGTCTAAGGGTCCCTTAGTGTCCAGACTACTATCCATAACAGAGTGGCCAATGTTGCTGGCCCTGGACTTGCCTGCATCAGGGTGGCCTTGCTGTGGAAAAGACTAGGGAGTTCTACAGGCCTCCCTCTGCCTCTCTTTCAAACCCAAAGTTTTATAAAATTCCACTGAGAAGTCAATGGTTCCCAAGTCCCTGACTCAGTCCCGACCTCCTTCCTGAGCTCAGATCCCACTTAGCAGCTCCATATGGATGTCAGACATCTCAAGGTCAACATGGCCAGAACAGAACTCTCAAATGTGAACTACCAGACAAGATTAATTTCCTGTTGACACTGTGAAAAATTATCACAATCTTGGTGGCTCAAAACAACAGTTATGGGCTGGGGTTGTGGCTCAGCAGTAGAGCGCTTGCCTAGCATGTGTGAGGACCTAGGTTCGATCCTCAGCACCATGTACAAATAAATAAAAAATAAGGGTATTGTGTCCACCTACAACTAAAACATATATATTAAAAAAAAAACAAAACAGTTATTCACTTACTGTTCTGGAGATCAGAAGTCTAAAGTGACTGGTGCATAGGGCTGGTTCTCTCTAGAGGGTCCAGGGGAGAATCCACTCCCAAGTCTTTTCCAGCTTCCAGAAGCCACCGCCTTCCTTGGCTCACAGCCCCTCCTTCCTTCACTCTAACCTTTGCCTCCACCATCCTGTCTCCTACTGACTCGGATCTTCCAACCTGCCCAGTGGAATCTTGTGGGTATATTGATCCTACTGATTATTCGTAAAATCTCCCCCTCTCAAGATTCTACTTCAGTTAGGGCTGGGGTTGTGGCTCAGTGGTAGAGCACTTGCCTAGCACTGGGTTCAATCCTAACACCACAAAAAAATAAATAAATAAATAAAATAAAAGTATTGTGTTCTTCTACAACTAAAACAAAAATTAAAAAAAAAAAAAGATTCTACTTTACATCTGCAAAGTCCCATATAAAGAACTACTGTCACAGGTTCAAGGATCACAAAACATAAATATCTTGGAGGTGGGAGCATTATTCAGCTTATCATCTCCACCTTCCCCAATCTGCTGCTTCTCTAGTTTCCTCATCTCCATAAGGGACACCCCAATCTTCTTAGTTTCTCAGGCTGTTGGCATGACCTTCAAATAGATTCAAAATCTGAGCCTTTCTCACTATCATCACTGCCTAGACTATTGCAATAGCCTCTTTGCTCGTTCCTCAACCTATTATATCCAATTTCCACCTGGCAGAAATGATCTTACAAAATGTAAATAAGATTTTGACACTCTCCTCACTGGGAACAGAATAAAATCCTACTGGGCCTGCAGTCAACCTTCTGTCCACCTCTCTGACCCAGTCTCTACCTCTCTCTGCAAGCTGGTTCCCACATAAGGGCCTTTACACTAGCTATTATTTCTACCTGAAACACTTTTCCCCTAGACCTTGGAATGAATGGCTGTTTTCTTCCTTATCATTACTTCCTTTTTTTTTTTTTTCTTTTTGGTACTAGATATTTTACCACTGAGCTACACCCCCAGTCCCTGCCCTTTTTTTTAGCCCTAGATTTTTTGCAATTTTTAATTTTTTTTTTTTTTTTTTTTTTTTTTTTTTTTTTTTTTTTTTTAGTTTTAGATGGACACAATACCTTCATTTATTCTTTTTTAATGTGGTGCTAAGGACTGAACCCAGTGCCTCATATATGCAAGTGCTCTACCATTGAGCCACAATCCCAGCCCATCCTCAGTTCTTTTTTTTTTTTTTTTTTTTTTTTTTGTGTAAAAAGTTTTTTTTTAAATTTTTGGGGACTTTTTCTTTTCAATTCTCCTACCTCAATCACCTGAGTTGGTGGGATTAAGGCATGCCCACCACTCCTGACTCACTTCCATCATTAATGTCACCTCTTCAGAAAGGCATTTTTGCTGATGGCTCCATGTCCCAGTCACTGCCTATTATATTTATGAAAACACTGTTTTTATCTACTTCTTATCAAACACTATCTGACTTGATCTTGCTTATTCATTTGCTTCTTATCTATCCTCTCCCCAGCTGGAATGCTGACTCCCTGAGAGAGAAGTTGGGTTGGTCCTGCTCACCAAGGTAACTTCAGCACTCAGAACAGTACTTAACACCCCACAGTAGTGCTCAGGAAGTATCTGCGGAATGAGAGAATGAAAACTTCTATACACAAGACTTCCCACTGAATCTTTAAGCGATCTAGGCTTGACCTCCAAAATAGGTTGAACACTTCACAATATCAGTCTTGAGATCTGATCTCAGTTTCTTACCCTTATGTCTGACCTCATCACCCACTCCACCTTCCCCTAGCTTGACTCCGGTTTAAAAAAAAAAAAAAAAAGACACAATCTGTTTTTTAGCCAAATTATTCTGAAGAGAAGGAAATCAGGGAACTGCAGCTGCAGTCTAAGGAAGTGAATGTACAGCTTTTCTAGGGACAGAAGGACTGTCCAGCTTTCCTAGGGAAGGACATGTAGAGTTCCATTTTTCAGGTCCGTGGAGAAAGTACTCCAAGCAATCCTTAAAAGCGAGTAAGCTAAAAATCAGACTGTGCCTTTAAGAGGGTGTGGCCACAAGAGAAGGCATTTGCGACTGAAAAGGGGGGGCGGGAAAAGAAAAGACCGGCCCCTTCCGACTACGTAAGCCCGGCAAGATGGCAGCTCCCAGGTCGGTAAGTGACCGGGCCTCCTAGAGCTCCCGAAATTGAAGTCCGCTCTACAGCCTCCACCCTCGGGCCCTTTGTCACCCTCGGGAGCCCGGTATAAGGGAACAGAGGCATCTCCCGCTAGGGGCTAGGTCTCACACCGGGAGTGTACCTCAGGGGCTATGGGGCAGGGGGCAGAGGGCAGGAAGGATCCCGGGAGCCTCAATCGGCGGCGGAGTTTTAGGGAGCAAGTGGGAGGGGACTTGGCGAGGGCAACCAATGGGAATGTGTGCCTAGCCAATCGGACTGAGGGGTACAACTGATCGCACAAGGAGCCAATGAGCATGCGAGGGTGGGTTCTGGGCGGAGAAGAGCTCTGGGAATGTTTTGCCTGAGAGTTAGGGATTGGGTTCGAGGGTGGAGCCCGGAGAATAAATTTGAGGGAAATTCATGGAGATTTAGTAATTTTGGTGGAAAAACCAGTGGTACCGTGAGGACAGAGTTAGGAATGAAGATGTGAATTTGGGAGTTCCAGTGAAAAGAATCTGAGGGGAATCACGGGATTTGCGATAGTCGTTAAGAGAATTTAAAGAATTGGGTAAAAATCAAGGAATGAATTCAGGGAAAATTGTCAGTTTCAGAGTTTTTAGAGGAGCCGGGCGCAGTGGCGCAAGTCTGTAATCCCAGCGGCTCAGGAGACTGAGGCCATCGGATCGCGAGTTCAGAGCCAGCCTCAGCAATTTAGCGAGGCCCTAAGCAACTAAGCGAGACCCTTTTTCTAAATTTAAAAATATGAAAAAGGGCTGGGGATGTGGCTTAGTGGGTAAGCGCCCCTGGCTCAATACCTGGTGTGCGTGTGCGCGCACAAATACACACACACACGCGAAGGTTTGGACAAAAGGGAGAATGAGCGATTTTGGTTACAGAAGAAATTTTAGCCCAGCGCAGAGGGTGCACACCTGTGATCCCAGCGACTGAGGAGGCTGAGGCAGGAGGATCAGAGGTTCGAGACCAACCTGGGGGTTTAGTTTAGCAACCCCGTCTCAAAATATAAATTTTAAAAAGGACCAGGGATGTAGCTCACTGGCAGAACGCCCCTGGTTCAACCCCCAGTACTGCAGAGGAGGCTTTGAAAGGGAAATCAAGGGTTGGGGGGGCTTCTCTTGTGGGCATGCACCTCCATTTTTCAAACCTTCTCTTAAAGGCACATACATTTTTTGGTCTTCTTGGGTTTAGGGAGCGCCCAAGTGCTCTCTCCATGGTAAATTAAAGAGATAAATTTAAAGGAAGGTCTGGGGCAATAGTTCATTGATAGAGTGCTTGCTTAGCACTCCCCAAGGCCCTGGGTTCAATACTAACTGAACTTTGTTCAGTACTAACAAAATAAAATAATAAAATTAATTAAGATTATATTTCAGTGGAAAGAAAAGGGTCAATCAGGAAGATTCCAGGGAGAATTGGGTAAAATTAACGGGCAATTTGTCAGAAATTAAAGGAGTCAGACAATTGAGGTTTTTAGAAAAAAACAGAACTTGGTGGAAGAATTTATAAAAAAACAGAATATTTGTCTAAATCAAGGAGAAAATTTAGGGTTGATTAAAGGAAGAATTTGGGGGGCTGGGGATGTGGCTCAAGCGGTAGCACGCTTGCCTGGCATGCGTGCTGCCCGGGTTTGATCCCCAGCACCACATACAAAACTAAGATGTTGTGTCCGCCGAAAACTAAAAAAAAATATATATATATATATATATATATTAAAAATTCTCTCTCTCTCTCTCTCTCTCTCTCTCTCTTTAAAAAAAATAAAGGAAGAATATGGGGAAATTTTTGGAATCCCAAAGAGTTTTATATTTTTCTCTTGGTGCTAAGGATTAAACCCAGAGCTTTGTGCCAATGAAGCAGGTGCTCTACCACTGAGCTTCATCCCCAGCTCAGAATTGGGAAGTTCTGAAAGGAGAACTTTCAGGAAGCAAGGGATTGAGGTTCATGGAACAAGAAGGGAGGGGAGGTCCAGCTCCAGACCCAGCCTCTCTTTCCTCTTCCTCTCCCCAGTTCCTGTGCCTGCTGGCCCCAATATATAATGGAGGTACTAGGGGCATCCATGGTCTGAGTGGGGCAGTGCCCCGGGAGGGCAGTCAGAGGGAGAGAAGGACACTACTCCAGTTCCTGACTGACCATTTCTACGATGTGGAGGCTCTGAGACAGTACTTGCTCCAGAGGAAGATAGCGAAGGTGCACAAGGAAAATCGGTGAGAACCTGCAGCCTGCAAGACCCTGCCTGCTAATCAGGCCTCACCAGTAAGAGCTTCACTCCTGCCCTGCTGCTCCCAGCCAGCACCAGGGCTTCCCTACCACTGTTGCATCTTCATATCCCGCCCACACCCTCCTCAAGGCACCTGCTGCCAACAGCTCCACTTGGGGGATCCACCTGGCCTCACACCTAACATGGCTAGAATAAAACCTTTCATTTCTCCTTAAAAGAACCTGCTCACCTCTAAGCCTTCCTCATCACAGGAACTGGCGCTACTGACATTCAGACTGATTTTTAAGGAATCCTCTTAACTCTTAGCTTCTCCGCCCTCCACATTCAGTGCATCAACATTAGAATATTCCAGGTCTGGTCACCTCCACTGTTTATAATGTCAGGTCACTGTGGTCATCTCTTGACCTTTAATATGTTCTCAGTTACAGTCTACAAAGCAACCAAAGGACCCACAAGAAAGTAAAATACAAACCATCACCACCTGCCTAAAACTCCAAGTGGTTTCTGACTAACTAAAGTAAAAGCCCCATCTCCAAGGCCCTAAGACCTGGCTGCCATGAGCTTTGAGACCCCTCCCAGGGACTCCCCTCACCCCCACCTACAAGGCCTCCTTGTTGCTATGAACCCAGCCATTGAAATTCAAGCCTCTGAGCTTGGCTACTCTGCTCCTTAGGCCTGGCAGGCCCTGGCCTTGACCTTCTCATTCCTTCTCACTATTCAAGTCTGCCCAATGTCACTGCCTCCAAGAACTGTCTTTTTTATTATTATTATTTTTTAGTTACAACACAATACCTTTATTTTGTTTATACTCACCTCACACGTGCTAGGCGAGTATTCTACCCACTGAGCCACAACCCCAGCCCAGTATTTTTAATTTTTTAAAAATATTTATTTAGTTGCAGATAAACACACAGTATCTTTATTTATTTTTATGTGGTACGGAGGATCAAACCCAGTGCCTCACATATGCAAGGCAAGCATTTTACCATTGAGCTACATACAGCCCCAGCCCCCCCCCCAGAACTGTCTTTTAACACCTAAAACTAAACCAGTCTCCACCAGTCTAGCCCCTGACCAAGCCACTCCCTGTGGGTGTCCACCATGACTTCTTTTCGTCATTGTGTTGGTACTCTGCCATTTGTGGTTATTTCCTGGAGCGTCATCTATCTTTTTTCAGATAGCTCAAAAAGGAAGGTCAGGGATGGTTATCTGCTGTGGTCACCACTGTGCCCCCAGTGCCCAGTATTTAATGGTCATTCAATAAAAATTCACAGCCAGGTGTGTTTGCCCAGTGCTCTGGACTCTGCCCCTCTCAGCGCACTAGGGCATGGCGAGGGGTGCGGTGCTCTCAGGATTTACCTTTACTACCATTTTCTTGGCAGATCCCTCGCCCACATCCAGGAGAAATATGGCCCGTACATCGCAGGAGCCTTCTTTGTCCTGAAGCAGGGAGGTGCAGTCAAGTATGACAGCAAAGGTTTCTGTTGTGGGTTGGGAGGGGCAGCAGGGTTCCGAGACCAGCCTCTGCAGTCAAATGGGCTTTCCTGTGTACCAGTTTTTGCCACCTAGTGGCTGTGGGGTGTGGGACCTGTTCCTGGGCTTCTGTTGTGTCATCTATAAAATGTGATTGATGATTGTAGCTAATCAACAAGGTTTACAGTAAGGGCTGGAATTCTGTAGTCTAAACATCTGTAATGAGGCCTTGCATAACATGTCCTCAATAAAGTTGGTTAGTCACTGCTATAGTCTCAGCACCTACTCAGGAGGCTGAGGCAGGAGGATTGCGTGAGCCTGGGAGTTCAAGGCCAGCCTGAACAGCATAGCTAGACTTCATCTCAAAAAGAAAATAGTTTTTCTTTTTCTCACTCCCTCTCCCCACTTGTTTCTCCTTCCCTTTCTCCTCCTTCCTGATATTTTTTCCTTCTTTTTGGAAAAATAGTTCCCAGAAGATTCATCTAATCCTCATG